ATTTCGATCCCACCTGGTGGAGGGCATCGGTAATTGGAGAACATTGCGAGCGAGTGAATCCGCAGGGTTCAGAGCGATTTTTTCTTATCAAAAAACCCGGTTGAGTTACGACCAGTCTACAAAAGGTAAATCATGCCAAAATGCGTCTTTAAGTAAAAGCTCCCCTTTACGAGAGGTTCGCCTAGAAAAGGTATGAATAGAGTCTGACTTTATTGGATGAATAACCCTTGGATGAAGGAGCTGAGTGGTGGCGTGGGTGCGCAAAACACCAACTGCTGCGTTGAGGTGTAATCATGTCATTAGCTAGTTGAAAAGGCTTTCTAATAGGGCTTTAAATTTGAAGAAGGCTTTCTAATAGGGCTTTGAATGGCTGGTCAAACTTTAGGGTTACTGAAGAAATACGCTTAAGTACCGACCGACAACTTCACAATAAGTGTAGTTGAAACAATTAGTGATCCGAGCATGAGTTGCTGAGGAACTGAACGAGTGCTGCGATGGAAGCTGTCTTCTCGTTTGCATGGGCCGTATCCTATCCTTCCCCCGGGCAAGGGAAAGAAAAAGGTCCTTTAAATTTTTTCGTTCCCAAAGAAACTGTTCCGTTACTTTCCGCACTTGTTTGCGTTTACGCACATATATACATTGCAAATATGCAGTTTCTCAGAGGGTTATTGTAGGAAGACAAAGAAAACTTAAAGGGATTTTCTGTTCCCCAGTCTAGGGGAAGGATAAGATACGGTCCCAGATGACTCACCATGATCACTGATTGTGCACCAGTGGTATCCATGCCGAAGCAGCGGGCGAAAACGCGTCGTTGAGCCTAAGTTTCCCCGTTATCTTAAAATTCCATCGCTTTTGCTAACCTACCCAGATCAGGTATAATGTATTTGAAAAGGATGTGACCTAATGACACATATCAATATGTGAGGGCAGCAGAATCATGGAGAAATCACCACTGAGCCGTATTCTCAGCCGTGACGCCTCGCTAGGAGTCGTCAAAGGTCATATGATCTGTGGCAGGGCATAGTTTGGTATAGGAAGAATTGGCAACGCCTCTCCGGAAGGCTTTTGTGAATTGTGAGAACATTGGGAAATTTCCACTGTTGCAATATGTTTACGGCCCCAACGAACGGTTTTTTTTGGAAATTTGGAGGTGGAGGAAGTATCAAGGAGAAATTTATTGGTCCATATAACCTACTGGTCTCAAATTTTTCCCGGAAATTCCAAGCTCTAGGCAATATACCACCAGTTACAGTTAGGATTGATTTGTTCCAAGCTAACAATTAGGCCAAAGTTAGGTTTCTCGTCTATCTAGTGCCTTTGACGCGTTCATTGCGCTAATTGCGCGTTCATAGTTCGCGACCTAGATCAGGATAGTGGGCGATAGGATACAAGAATAATAGAATATCGATAGGTATAATAGGATATTTAGCTGAAATGATTAGATACGTATTGATTAGGACAGTAGGAGATTACTAGATTAGGCGTCCTGAGTCGAATCGATCAATATGTATCATTAGCGTAATCTCCTGATTACTACTGTTCTCTACTACTCTACAACTATGTCAGTCGAGATTATCAGTCCTATTAAACGCAATACATCTTACTACTATCCATCTCGTGAACATAGAATATGAGAATTTCAGCGAACATATAAATACGTATAAATTAGGATAGTAGTACTATTACTCTGAACTCTCTGTCAATACCTATCATTTTCATTGTCGCGTACTATCCGAATCTCTGGAGTCGCCAACTATGAACGCGGCCTATTGTCGCCTGTTCAATTTTTTTGCTATCTTTCAACTTTTTCTACTTTTATCCACTGTTGTAAAGCGCACATGAAAGACCCGCAGAAGTTTGATGCTGAATAGCTTTTAGCAATGTTTATAGCTGATGCTCACCTTGCCGGCGGCAATCTCTTCATGGCAAAATTGTAATTGGGATTTTTAATTGCTTATTACACCTCAGAAACATCTGTGTGACACAAAGTAGAATGTAACGAGCTTCAATCGGCCCTTTCCAATTCATCCCGATATCCACATTTTATCAACAACAAGGATTAGCCACATGCCGAGGAAAAGATAGCTCCATTCCTCCCCCTTCTGTCCTCTCAGGTTCTCAGGACTACCACAAAATACCCAGTCGTGAAAACCTCGACGTTGGCTCATTACGCCCACAAACCATCAGTCAAATTTTTGGTTGGATGGTGGGCGAGTAGAAAAGCTACCTTTTTTCACCAGCGCTGCAGACGTTTTTGTCTGTGCGTACAGACGCACTTGTCGAGAACTTACAGCACCGTACCACTCAGAAAATACTGCGCTCTTTCTTCGGGTGTCCTCTTTCTCCTCAACGGCTCCCATCTGGCGTATGTGTGTGCGTATTGATGTCGGCGCTGTAAAAACGGAATCCATGCGTCGTGTTGGAGAGTGTTGTGTTTGCCGCTGCAACTTGGGCAACTGTGCATCTGTTGAGGCAGTTCTCCTCTCCCCATCACCCCAGTCCTCCTCCACCCTGCACCCTTTTGCCCGCATTCAGAGTCGAGCTACACCAAAACTTTATCTGTATATATAGGTTGGAATTGTATTCAAATTTTTTCGCTCTCAAAAAAATTCCTCCTGATTTTCAGACCGTCAAGTACGGTGTACACGCGGTCTTTGAGACCACAGTTCGAGGCAGTCCGAATCCTGAGGTGACGTGGTTCATCAACGGACAGAAAATGGACAAGGACACTCCTGGAGTGAAGATTGAGGTACTGTAGATATTGACCTCACTGCTTGGTCACTTTCTTTTGATAGCCTTTTTTCCCTTCCCTTTTTCCCTTTTTTGCCACATGGGAGTTATTTTTGAGTGATGAGATAGTCGCTTCTTGTTAATTTGCCGATATTGATTTTTATCCAATCGATATTCCACTTACAGTCTTTCAGTTCGTGAATCATGACCATAAACTCACAATCGATTCTGCACAATACGCAGGAACTGTGCTATGCAGGTGAATAATGG